ATCATGGCCTATATTCGTAGTGAATTCGATTTCTGGTACTCCAAAATGAATTAAATAAACAAAACAAATGACGGTATTATATTTTGATTTGATACAGAGCAGCAACAAGCCGCATATACGTATTTCGATCTCTTTAGATCTCCTCAGTACGGTATAGTTACTACTCCATATCAAACCAAAATATTTTCCCGTCGTAGATTGTAGTTATTAAAAATAACTATTTACGGACGTAACTACGCCATCTAAGAACAAAAAGAGAAATCATACGATTTCTACCTGGCGAAATCGAATTCAAATATAGGCCGCCGTGCTCCCTAAGACTTGCGAAGCAAACAGCTTGATGAATGCATCGGCAAGGGAGTCTAAAAATTGCACTCCAAATGCCGTTCATCATGGCCTATATTCGTAGTGAATTCGATTTCTGGTACTCCAAATGAAGTAAATAAACAAAACAAATGACGGTATTATATTTTGATTTGATACAGAGCAGCAACAAGCCGCATATACGTATTTCGATCTCTTTAGATCTCCTCAGTACGGTATAGTTACTACTCCATATCAAACCAAAATATTTTCCCGTCGTAGATTATAGTTATTAAAAATAACTATTTACGGACGTAACTACGCCATCTAAGAACAAAAAGAGAAATCATACGATTTCTACCTGGCGAAATCGAATTCAAATATAGGCCGCCGTGCTCCCTAAGACTTGCGAAGCAAACAGCTTGATGAATGCATCGGCAAGGGAGTCTAAAAATTGCACTCCAAATGCCGTTCATCATGGCCTATATTCGTAGTGAATTCGATTTCTGGTACTCCAAATGAAGTAAATAAACAAAACAAATGACGGTATTATATTTTGATTTGATACAGAGCAGCAACAAGCCGCATATACGTATTTCGATCTCTTTAGATCTCCTCAGTACGGTATAGTTACTACTCCATATCAAACCAAAATATTTTCCCGTCGTAGATTATAGTTATTAAAAATAACTATTTACGGACGTAACTACGCCATCTAAGAACAAAAAGAGAAATCATACGATTTCTACCTGGCGAAATCGAATTCAAATATAGGCCGCCGTGCTCCCTAAGACTTGCGAAGCAAACAGCTTGATGAATGCATCGGCAAGGGAGTCTAAAAATTGCACTCCAAATGCCGTTCATCAGGCCTATATTCGTAGTGAATTCGATTTCTGGTACTCCAAATGAAGTAAATAAACAAAACAAATGACGGTATTAAATTTTGATTTGATACAGAGCAGCAACAAGCCGCATATACGTATTTCGATCTCTTTAGATCTCCTCAGTACGGTATAGTGGTTTGATATGGTTGAGTTTCATATGGAGTAGTAACTATACCGTACTGAGGAGATCTAAAGAGATCGAAATACGTATATGCGGCTTGTTGCTGCTCTGTATCAAATCAAAATATAATACCGTCATTTGTTTTGTTTATTTACTTCATTTGGAGTACCAGAAATCGAATTCACTACGAATATAGGCCATGATGAACGGCATTTGGAGTGCAAGTTTTAGACTCCCTTGCCGATGCATTCATCAAGCTGTTTGCTTCGCAAGTCTTAGGGAGCACGGCGGCCTATATTTGAATTCGATTTCGCCAGGTAGAAATCGTATGATTTCTCTTTTTGCTCTTAGATGGCGTAGTTACGTCCGTAAATAGTTATTTTTTAATAACTATATTCTACGACGGGAAAATATTGTGGTTTGATATGGGGTAGTAACTATACCGTACTGAGGAGATCTAAAGAGATCGAAATACGTATATGCGGCTTGTTGCTGCTCTGTATCAAATCAAAATATAATACCGTCATTTGTTTTGTTTATTTACTTCATTTTGGAGTACCAGAAATCGAATTCACTACGAATATAGGCTATGATGAACGGCATTTGGAGTGCAATTTTTAGACTCCCTTGCCGATGCATTCATCAAGCTGTTTGCTTCGCAAGTCTTAGGGAGCACGGCGGCCTATATTTGAATTCGATTTCGCCAGGTAGAAATCGTATGATTTCTCTTTTTGTTCTTAGATGGCGTAGTTACGTCCGTAAATAGTTATTTTTAATAACTATAATCTACGACGGGAAAATATTTTGATTTGATATGGAGTAGTAACTATACCGTACTGAGGAGATCTAAAGAGATCGAAATACGTATATGCGGCTTGTTGCTGCTCTGTATCAAATCCAAATATAATACCGTCATTTGTTTTGTTTATTTACTTCATTTTGGAGTACCAGAAATCGAATTCACTACGAATATAGGCCATGATGAACGGCATTTGGAGTGCAAGTTTTAGACTCCCTTGCCGATGCATTAATCAAGCTGTTTGCTTCGCAAGTCTTAGGGAGCACGGCGGCCTATATTTAGAGAGACAATAGAGGGCCACTTTGGCCCCTTCAGACTTCTATCGTAGGTTTGTTAGAAAATCCATTTAATAAATTTAGTAAACAATATTTTTTTGCGTTAAATAAGACTTTGTATCAAAATATTAAAAGTCATAAAATATGAAATTATTATTGTGTCAAATAAAAGAACTACAATAACTTCAAATCGCAACAGGGGTCAAATTGGCCCCTCCGACTTTCTAGTGTTAAAGAAACAAATTTTAAAAACCAACAATGCCATACCTTTTATAAAAATAGAAACGGAATCAAGAACATGCAAGTTGCGGAGTTGTCATTTATGTTAATAACACAAAACATAAAAGATTCCTCTTACAACAGACATCGAAGCTGTAGCGGTCTTAGTTAAAGCTTCCCAAGGGTTTTTATTTCCCAAAAGGTACTCCTCACTATAACCTACTTAAAAGCACTCATCTCACAAATACCTATGCCCAGACTAATAGTAGAAGATTTCCACCCAATGTAGAGTTCAACAAATTTTATTACCAAAGCAGACTAACCGAAGACATGTTAACAACAGATAATTTATTTAATAGATTTATTTTACATACGGGAACAATAGCGGCAATTGATCTATCGATTTGTGACCCAACTCTTCTAATCGTGCTTAATTGGGTTCCTCTACCCTTTTTATATATAAGCGACTATACCCAATAAAAATTTCTCTTTTTTCTGATAACATTACCTCTGAATACCAACCAGTTCAATTAAAATTAAATATTTTTACACACCTGGCAAATACCATATAGAAAAAACTGACCTCTATCATGGTCGAACACAGAATATCAAAAAATAATAAAGAAATATATAGCATCTTTTAACACAATGAAAAAACATTATAACACAATTAAACATAATTGAATCCAAAAAAGAAGAATATTTGCTAGATTATAACAAAAATTTCTCTAGAACTAACTCGAGGAAATTTGTCTCAAATATAAACAACCTCAACACATCTAACTACAGTCTATCGCAATATTCTACTCTTGACACATATGTACAAACTCTTTATGAAAATCTTAACAAAGAGGCTAACACCTAAACTTGATTTCTATCAGCCCACAGAACAGGCAGGCTTTAGGGCAGGATATGGCACAAATGACCATTTGCATACCATAAAGATCTTAATAGAAAAGTGCATCGAGTACAACATACTACTGGTTCTTGCATTTGTCGATTACGAGAAGGCTTTTGATTCTGTAGAGTTTGAAACAATACTGGAAGCCCTAAATCAAAGCCGAATAGATTACAGGTACACGACACTAATCAAAAACATCTACGAGAACGCTACATCAAGTATACGACTACACGAAGACCAGAAAAATTCAGCTTAGGTCGAGGAGTTAGACAAGGAGACAATATTTCACCAAAATTGTTCACGGCAGCTCTAGAGTCAATATTTAAGAGCACTTAATGGCAAGATATGGGCATCAATATAGATGGAGAAAGATTAAACCACCTAAGATTTGCAGATGATGTTGTATTAATCGCAGATAATTTACAAGATACAGTTTCTATGATGCATTCGCTTAAAAGTTTGTCTGAAAGAGCAGGATTAAAGATAAACTTTGAGACTAAACTTATGACAAATCTCGTAATGAGTGGAAATATAACTATTGACAATAATAACCTACAACAAACAGACACTTACAAATATCTGGGACATGAAATCAAAATAAGCAGAGACAATCAAACACATGAAATACAGAGGCTAATAGGCCTAACTTGGGCAGCATTTGGCAAATTAAGCCATATTCTAAAAAGTTCAATTCCATGTGTCTCAAGCGAAAGGTTTATGACCAATGTGTTTTACCTGTACAAACTTATGGAGCGGAGACTTTAACACTCACGCAAAAATCTGCGAATAAACTCAGAGTTACGCAACGAGCCATGGAACGTGCAATGCTGAACGTGAGCCTTCGAGACCACATAACAAACCAACAAATCAGGCAAAGCTCAGGAGTTCAAGACGTCATCGAAAGAACCACGTCGCTTAAGTGGAACTGGGCAGGGCACTTAGCCAGAGCACAAGATGGACGGTGGACAAGACGTATTATGGAATGGAGGCCCAGAAACTATAAAAGAAGCCGAGGACGACCACCGACTAGATGAACCGATGATATAAAACGTGTAGCGGGAAACTGGCTACAAGCGGCTCAGTGTAGAGAACACTGGAAAGAACTGAGGGAGGCCTTTGTCCAGCAGTGGACGCGATTGGCTGATTGATGATGATGAAGTAATCTATAATCCTAATACTAACAGAAAAGGTTTCAAAACAGAAGTGTCAGGTTATTAATGACGAAATAGTGTAACTAATATTCTTAAATATAAAGATATATAAATCATCATAGAACTTAAAAATTAACAAAACTCTGTGAACTATAAATGAAAAACTGAAGAAAACAAATGGTAATGGTATTAAAGCTAATTAATCAACTAACATATTAATATCTAATTAAAAATCGTCATTAAAAATTACAAAGAAACTAATATCATTCCAAAGAACTCCCATTTAATCGTAAGAATCCAAACATATTAATAATAATTTACTTTTCTTGTAATTTTCTAACATTTCCCTAATGGCATTCATACATAGGTTTCATTTTTTTTTCGTCTTCCAGGTTTTCTTCATCTTCCTCTATATTAAGTACCTGATTAAAGTATTCCAACAATTTAATATATCTTTTAGGTCGGGTTAGGTTTTTTGGGATAGTAAAAAACAAAAAATTGTATTCAGTACTCTATAACATTTATTATTATTCAAAATTAAAATCTTATAATCTTAAATCACAGTTTATTTATATTTCATGGACTTGATAATATTGAATTTTGTCCATGTTTTGTCTTACAAATAGACTTCTGTTTGCGTTATACTTCCTGTCGATTAAACTCCACCAATCATCATGATGTTTCATAAGGTAAGCTATAACTTTAAGGGCATTTTCCTTTTGATTTGCATCACATTTAGCGCAGTTTTCATCAATTGCTTCAGGAAGAATTTCTAAAAGATAAAAAGTATGTCAATAATTGATTTATCAATTATACAGAAAAGGAATTATATATGAGTATTACAGTTATAAATCTATACTATTTATAAATCTATATCTATTCTTGGTGACGGGGGGTTGGGGGGTACAAAGTTCTGACAAAACCTGAGAAAAACACAAAGCGATTTACGATGAAAGTTGCAACGCTTAACGCTAGATCCTTGATGTCCAAAGACAGATTGCTGGAATTCTAAAACGAGCTACAGAATGTTAAATGGGACGTAGTCGGACTCAGTGAAGTAAGAAGACGAGGAGAGTCTGAGAGTCTCTCGAAACACTAAACTCGGGTCACTTTATTATATGGGAAGTGAACACATGTCTGTAGGAGGAGTAGGCATCATAATACACAAGAAACTTTCTCAAAATGTGGTTTGAGTAAAAGCAATATCTGAGAAAGTAATATATATATATATATATATATATATATATATATATATATATATATATATATACAATTAAATAAAAGATGTATTGTTAAATTTATCCAAGTCTACGCAACAACATCAACCCATCCTGACTAAGAGGTTAGAACAATTTTATGAGGATGTGCACAGGGCCATAAGAGAGAACAATGCCATACGTGGTGATTTCAAGGTAAAAATAGGAACACAGTTAGAGGCATCGAAATATATCTGGGAAATTTCGGAAGTCCGGTTAGAAATGAGGAGAGGTGAAATGCTTTTGTCATTTCTACTAGAGAATAATCTTTATCAAATGAATTGCTTTTTCTACAAGAAGCTACACAGACGTTGGACATGTAGGAACCTAGACGGAAATATCCGCACGAAACAGATTACTTTATTGCAGATAAAAAATACATATTTAAAGATGTGACCGTTCTTAATAGATTATCGACAAACTCTGGCCATAGGATGGTTAGAGCTACCATTGAGATATCTACTTACTTATATAGAAGTCATATAATAAAGAAAATACTCTCACTGGACATGCCCACAAGACGAAGCAGCATTTGGAGACTACATTAACAACACTCTTGATTACAGCATAATACCAAACGATGTCGGTGAGTTGAACAAACAAATAGTTGATATAATTAAACTGGCACAAGCTCGTTTTTGCCCAAAGACTAAACGATATTAAAAGATCACTTTAGAAACACAACTCAAAATAACAGAAAGAAGACAGTTACAAAGTGAAAGGGACATTGAGCCACAAACCATTCGGGCACTCAATAAAGACATATCGAAATCTGTGAGAAGAGATATTAGGAAATGTGAACATGAAAAAATCGTACAGAATATAGAGCAAAATAGGAGCATGAAGGTAATGAGACAAAAAATGGCGACAAGTAGAAAAAAATTTTCCAGCTTAGGAATAAAGAGGGTGAAGTAACAACAGACAGATAGAAAATACTTGAAATAGTCGAAGAATTCTAGACTATATTATACACAAACCCAATTAACAATAACGTAAATGAAGACGGTAGACAAAAGGTTTAAAACCAGGGATCTGATGACAATCCAGAAATTACTCAAGATGAGATACAATATGCACTCAAAAAAAAATGAAGAAAACAAGGCGCCAAGAGGTTATAGAATAGTTACAGAAGCGCGGAACTTCTCTTCTGAAAAAAATACGAGATCTCTTCAATCTCTGCTTGTACAGTCAAAAAATTCCTATAGTTTGAAATAACTTAATTACAATTCTTCTGCATAAAAGGGTAACAACATGAATCTAGAGAATTACAGGCCAATTTCTCTACTTAACCATTTGTACAAACTGTACACCAGAATAATAACCAATCGATAAGAAGCAAAATTTGAGCTATATTAGCTAAGAGAACAGGCTGGTTTTCGCCTCAAGATAACAACAATGATTTATAGAACGTAACGCAACGAATTAATGAATATTGTCATGATGAATATGGACTAAGGATGAAACATGATCATGACCAAATCAACAGATGCAAACATACAATTGATTGTTAAGTATTAGACTACGACAACACCTAATAATAATCGGTGTTACATATTCACTACTCTTTTTTATGACTTGTAAGCATGGACATTAAAACAAGTGCATCTAAATAAGTTTGCCGCCATTGAACTTTGGTTTTATAAAAGAATCCTACGAATACTTAAGTACTTAGGCCATGTTATAAGAGAGCAAAGATACTTATTATCGCAGCTTATTATGTAAGGGAAATTTAAGGAAAGCGAAATGTTGACAGACGAAGAATATCGTGGCTTAAGCACTTAAGGGAATGGTTTGAATTCAGTAGTGCAGAACAATTTAGAGTGACAGTCAATAGACATGATGATTTCTCACTTTCGATAGAAGATATTGGGTAACTTTAAAAAGACTTGCAAGTGAGCATTTTTCTACATAAGTAATGGGGCAGAGAAAACGCTTGACTTGGACAGCAGGGTTATACCTGGTACACAGATGGATTCAAAACTGCAGAAAGGTCAAGTACAGGAATGCTCAGAAGTGGTGTAAATTTCTATTTTACTAAGAGAATGTTTCTCCATATTTCAGGCAAGATTTGCAAACATATAGTGTACAAGAGAAATTGACATGCTTTCGAACTGAAACGGATCAATATGTACACACAAAGACAAGCAGCCATGGGGTCTCTTAAACTACGTGTCTGTTTAAGAATAATCTGGTATTCCAACGTATCCGATAGAAGTCATAGTACATCCAAATAATAATTATCTAGTAGTAAAGAAGATAAACGGTTTATCCGTAATATACAAACAATAAAGATTAATCCATTAGTCAAAGTAGAAGAAAAGGAAGACCCAAAACAAGGTCCCTTGATAAAATCCATGAAGACATGAGAAATATGGGAGTACGTGTTTGGCGGAGGGAGTCATTGGATAGGAACGACTGAAGAGAAGTTTTTGAAGAGGCTAGAACCTACATAGGGTTGTAAACCAGAATCATAATGACTAATAGTATTAAAGAGAATGGAACCAGAAAGTTATTAGTACATAGGTCTCATTTTTTTTTATTTTCCTTATCTTTCGAAATATATCATTCTTTCGCTTCGCTCCACCGTGGCTATATATTTGAAAATAGTCTAATGATATAATAATAAAAAAAAACGTATCTATTACCAGATCATGTAAAAAAACAAAATACAAGATGTACCAAACGATAAGATGGATCAAGATAAAATGTGGGAAAAATGAATGAACATACCTCCATACTAACAAAAAAATAAAAAGGCACATACGAAAACAGTGGTGAACTTTTCTGGGAAAAGCTCAGATGAAAACAAAATTAAATAGGGAGTGAAACAAAGATTCAGCATTTCTTCACTCTTTCAACAATTGAAGATCAGTAGAATTTCGCGATATAAAACTTGATTGACATAGTTACCTAAGTGCCCTACTATCTGCACACAAAAAAATAATAGTACAAGAAAGAGAAGATAAACTATAACTAGCAATAAATCGATTAAATCAAATGTGTATGCAATACAACCTCAAAATATCCTGAGCAACGACGAAAATTACAGCATTTTAAGATGAATATCAAATACGAATAGTCGGAAATAGACCAATAGAGCAAGTATTACCTTTCCAGGACTCGCGATGAGACACCAGTTATGAGTACGTTAACGATGTAGACAATTAAATACAGACATGTAAACAATATGAAAATTTAATTTTATAAAATTATTTAATATCTATGTACTGCAGTAAATATTAAAAAGAAGAATTAAACGATGCACAATAAAAATTAAGGCACACGTAATCAGCTAAATATTACGCTATGCTATAAACATTTTATCGAAAGATGGAGTCAAACATTCACAGGATGGAACACGAAGGACCAACCAAAAAAATCTCCTTTTGAAGACTGCAGATAAATCCTAATTCCTGTAGCGAAGAAAAATAAGAAGCAGAAAATAGTAAAAAATTATTTTTACTGAAGATAGTACTGTAACTTCTACCAAGCTATTCCAATCTTCCATTCCAAAAATCATTTCAGACTATGATTAAAACTCACGCCTTCAAAATCAAAATGTGCAAACAATGTTACTCACAATGATTTATTAGAAGGAATATAAGATAAGTATTCATCATATTCATATTCATTGATATTTAATAGATTCAAGGTATGGAACAGGCGTCATAAACTGCAGAAGTTATAGAGCCGCAAACATAGATTCAGATCATTGCCTAGTAATCTCAACATTCAGGGCTATAATTTCAAACACCAGTAAGGAAAATAAAATGGATAGAAAAAATGGAGTGTGCAAAAGCTGAGAAATGCGACAATTGCAGAACGGTACTCAAAAAACATCTCCAACAGGCTAAATCCAAATGTAAATAAAGAAGGCTGGACAGGTATAGATTCCTACTGGACTAGAATAAAGAAAAATATTGAAGCATCCGCAAAAGATGAAATAGGAACGGAAATATGTGTCCGTAAAAAATATTGAATGAACTAGAACAACTGTAGGGAATTACCAGACAAAGAGAAGAAAAAAAACAGAGGGAAATAATTCAAAGCATTCTATAAGAAAATTAACATCAACGGAAAAGAATTCAAGGTAAACACAGGACACTGCAGAAGTCAAAATGGCAACCTATTAATAACAAGGAAATATGTATTGAATAAATGGGTGGAATACTTGAACTAGGCATTTTAACTTAATATAGACGAATAAGAAGAAAACCTAGAATACGAAAGAGATGAGGTAAACCCCAGAATTTACAAGGCCAAGAGATGCTATTTTGGGCTCAATCTAACCTTTAAATCCACAATTATATCGTGAAGTACAAAAATAAAACTCTACAAAACAATAATACAAAGGAAGTACTAAGGAGGGTAAACAGAGTTAGAGAACTGTTAAAGACTGTTGAACACCGGAAAATATTTTATCTGGGACGTATAGTGAGGAATTGATATAGATACTGCAACTGATCGTGAATCCTTTGCAATGGTGATCTCCAACGTCGGATATTTCTGATATAGCATGTGAAGAAAAAGAATGAAGACTCGTATAAGATATAAAGAAGGACTTATGTTCCTTAAGAAAAGAAGAGTGGTCAAATTAAATCTTAAACAAAATTCGTGAGAAAATATTTAAAAAAAAATTATTTCGCTGTATGTTTGTATCGCCAAGAAAATTGTACCTAGGAAAAATTTAGAAAAATGTGATAAAACGAAATTAATTGAATTAAAAAGACCTAATTACAAAAAACGATATCAAATAAAGAAAATTATAGGATAAACCAGAATGAAGTATACTGGGGAATATCGAAATAATTTAAAAACTAAGATTGAACACCAATATAAAAATATAAAAACACATTCTAATTAAGGAATTAATTAAGAAGGCAATTGCCTCATACAATTAAAAAAACATCTATAATTATATTACCTCTTAAGTAATCTCCATCTTTGGTGCATGTCTGGGGTACATCTAGTAAACAATCTATGTATCTTTTCAACAATCTTGTATTATGTAGAACATCGTGTAGATTGATGTAGGAGTATTTATGCGAATACGCAGCAGCACAGAAGCCTACGGTAGCAAAGAAGATTAAGATCGTAAATTTCTGCATGTTGACTGATTTGTGACACTACAGTACACTGAATAATAAATTTCAGTTTTCTTGCTTTTATATATTTGACTAAATTAGACAGATATTTATTTGGCTATTGGAAAGTAAACATTTTCATTAATTCTTTATAAATGAGTTGAAAGTGGGGATAGAACATTTTTATCATACAGGTTCGTCTTTGTTTTGCTTTCTGAAGAAATTGCTCTTGATATTTTAATTAAATTTTTAACAGATGCCGTACTAGACAGAGTAAGAGAAATCGTCATTTCTTCTTGTCTTATATATCTTTTTCAGTGAGGACTCTTTTTTCCATTTTATTTATTTGTCCTTTCCACTGTAATCTAAGACAATCTCTTTTTCTCCTTCCATTTGGTTATATTTTCAAGTTCTTAGCGATATTCTCGTCTCGTTCATCCTTCGCATATGCCCATACAAGAGTAATTTTTGTTGTTTTATTCCGTTATTACAAGTGTCTCACAAGTTTATTTTTTACTTTGTGCATTAGTGCTGTATCATGAATTTATTATTTTCAGTTATTATATTAGTGACTGTAGTATTATTGTCTTTTCTTTCTTTTGTTTATTTATTATTTATTTATTATATTCGTTTCATCATAATCATCAATATCATTCTAAGCATATTCTACAAATTATGGTGCAGCCTCCCTTACATATCCATTCTTTATGTAAGCTCACGATTGTCTAAAATTCGCTTTTCTGTGCCATGTTGATTCCTTATGTCATAGTCCCATCTTAAATTTGGACGTCTTCTTGGTTTCTTGACGCCTCTTGGATACCACAGTGTAATTATAGTGTACCCCTATTGTCAGTTCTTCTCGATCAATGTCCACCTCACTGCCATTCTGAAGATTTAATTCTTTGGATTACATCAGTAACCTTGGTTTGATCCAGTATATTATTTTTCTATCTCTCTTTGAGAGATTTTACAGGAAAATTTACAGGAAATAAAGTGCCGCATAGAAAAGGCAAGAACGGTCTTTAACAAAATGAGCGCCATCTTCAAAAGTCACAACATATCCCTTGATACAAAAATGAGACATTTGAGATGCTATGTTTTCTCTGTGTTGTTGTACGGGGCGGAGGCATGGACGCTTACAGACACCACTATTAAAAAACTTGAAGCATTTGAGATGTGGCTTTATAGAAGAATGCTGAGAATATCATGGACAGCAAGGATCACGAACAAGGAAGTTCTATGAAAAATGAAGAAGGAACCAGAGATTGTGTTTACGATCAAACGCATAAAATTGCAATATCTGGGACACGTTATGAGAAATCAGCACCGTTACTCCCTGCTACAGTCTATATTGCAAGGTAAAGTCAAAGGTAAGCGAGGACCCGGTAGAAGGAGAATATCATGGCTGCGGAATTTAAGAACATGGTTTAAGAAAACCTCAACGGAGCTGTTTCGAGCCGCAGCGAGCAAGGTTATGATTGCCAATATGATTTCCAACATCCGAAACGGATAGGAACCAGAAGAAGAAGATCTCTCTTTGTCATACCTAGCATGCATTGATTCATTGAACTTTGAGTGACTTTGAGTTTCGATATTATCTCTTTCTAGTGTTCAAGTTTCGTAGCCGTATGTCATGTTTGGTAGTATATACTGATCGAATGCTTTTTTCTTCGGGTGGATTGGCATCTTCGATTTGAATATAACTGCATTTCTACCAAAAGAATTTGGTCACCGGTCCAAGTCAGTTTCATTCTTCTGTTGATTTTTAAAAGTAGGAAGCCAGATTTATTTATTAATTGTTCCATACGCGTCTACTGTCCCAAGTGCAGTGTTGTTTATTATTACATCTTGGACATCCACTAGCTTGTTGTACATGGTTTTTGTTTTCATCAAGTTCATTTTTAGCCAACTTCATTGCTAGCTTCATTTAGGTCGCTTTTTAGTTCCTGTGGTTCTGTAGCATTATTAGCAATCAGAACGATGTCATCTGAAAATCTTAGATGGCTGAGGTATTCTCCATCAATGGACATTCCTTTGTTCTGCCAGTTCATTTTGCTGAATCCATTTTCTAGAGTGGCAGTGAAGAGCTTTGGTGATATTGCGCCTCCTTGCCGGACGCGTTTGGTAGTGGGAAATTCTGGAGTGTTTTATTAAATTTTTACCTAAGCTTGTCTGTATATATTTGCTAAAGTTTCGATTTATGGTTTGTCAATGTTTTATTTTATTACTGATTTGGGATATATAGAATCGAAAGCCTTCTCGAAATCAATGAAGGTTAATATATATATTCAGGGACTCTGCAGTATTCAGTACGTTTCCTCGCTCAACCGTTTCCATCTCTCTCTGTTGTCCTATTCTCCATAGTTTAGGCCTCTCTTACTCAAGGCGTCCTTCGGATCTTCGGGGTCGTCCTCTTTTCCTTCTTCCTATGGGGCTCCATTATTTTCCATTATTCTGTTTATCCATCTGCTGTCGCTTGTTCTTCTTACATGTCCATACCACTTTAGTCTTTTTTGTTCTATATATGTTAGTATGTCTGTTTCTATTAATGTTCTTTGCTTTATTTCGTCATTACTTCTCCTATCCATTCTTGTTACTCTGCAGCATCTTCGCGGGCATTTCATTTCTGTTGCTTCTATCTTACTGCCGTTTTTCTTGTTTATAATCCAATTTTCAGCCCCGTATCTTATAATACTTCGCACTAATGTTTTATAAATCTGTGTTTTTGTCGTCATATTTAGGTATCTATCTCACCATACTGAGTTAAGTTGTCGGATTGCTGTTCTTGTTTGTTCTAATTATAAACGCCAAGTATTTTAATTTATCCTTTCCTTTGATTGTTACGTTGTCATTAATCTGCAGATTTTCTATATCTCCTTTACTTGTAGATAGGTACTCTGTTTTCGCGAGGTTATTATCTAGGCCAGCCTTGGTATATTCTTCTTTTAGTTTCTTCATCATGCAGCTGAGGTTGTCTTGGTCTTAAACACTTGATCGTCTGCAAAGCTTAACGTATATAGATATTCGTTTAGCACCGGTACTCCCATACATGTAATCAAGTATATTTTTCTCTAAGTATATTTTGAATAGGAGTGAAGATGTGGAACAACCCTTTCACCCAGAGTCCTTTTGTTGTGGTAAAATCTCCTATGATAAAGTCTCCTTGTTCCCACTTTAATGGGCTCTTTATTTTCTTTATACAGAGCTTTTGTAGCGTCTATGAATTCCGTCTGTAGTTCTAATTTGTACAGTGCCTCCCATAGTTCTGATCTTGGTACAGAGTCATATGCCTTTCTCAGGTCCACAAGTGCCAAATGTATATCTCTATTTTTTGCCTTTTTCTTTTCCAACAGTTCCAGTGTGTATATGCGATCTACGCATTTTCTTCCTGCCGTGAAGCCTGCCTGATCCACCCCGATTTTGCCTTTTATTGCTTGCTATATCTTTTCTCGCAGTATCTTTTCATATAATCTTCCTATTGATAATATTACGCTTATTCCTCTGTAGTTTTCGCATCGTTCTCTATCTCCTTTCTTAAATGTATATGTCATATATGCCTCCGTCCATTCCTTTGGGAGCTGTTCTCCATTTATGGCTTTCTGAAATATCCATTGTATCATCCAGTGTAATTGTTTTGAGCCGTTTTTTATAAGCTCAGGTAAGATGCCTCCAGGCTCCGGTGCTTTCTTATTTTTGATTGCTTTTATGTACGTTCTCATTTCCCTATCTGTTATTTCTATTTCTTGTTGCAGGGATCTGCTTCGTCTTCGCCTGTTTTCTTTTCCAATAAATTGTGGTCTTTGTTCTGTTAATAGTTTCTTGTAATAGTCCTTTCATTCTTTGTGCTGTATATTTCCCAATTTAATTTTTTCTTTTGAGTTTTGTTTCAATCCTCTCAGTACTTTTCATGACTCTGAAGTTCTTCTACCTCCTATGTATGTATCAATATTTAAGCAGGTTTTTCCCATTCTTCATTCTTTTGCTGTGTTATTTGTTTTTTCACTTCTCTATCTTTTTCTCTATACTCTTTATAAACTTCATCGTTGTTTGTAGTCAACCATTTTCTGTATAGTTGCTTTTTTCTGTAATTATTCTTTTTGTTGATTCATTTATTTCATAATAGTGCTGTTTATTTGGTATATGTTCTTTTTATCCAAGGGCTTCAAATGCTGCTTGTTTTATACTCTCCTTTATATGCTCGTATATTTTTAAAAAAATATTTAATATCTGGGTCATATGATAGTAGGCGAGATAAGCGAGAAGTACGTATTACTTAGGTTAATTATGCAAGGGAAGATACAAGGAAAGAGAAACCCAGGCAAACGCAAAATATCCTGGCTAAGAAATTTGAGAGAGTGGTTCGGTTGCAGCTCATTAGAATTACTCAGAAGCGCGGCCAATAAAATTAAAATAGCGATGATGATTTCCAACCTCCGATAGGAGAAGGAATCTGAAGAAGAAGAAGAATATTTTTCGATGTTGCCGTATCTAAATTCTATTAATTTTTGGTCCAGACGTTGTTTGTACAGTTCTCTTATTAATTGTTCTTGGAGTAGTTCTATATTGTATTGTTTTTCTCTTATAGTGTTCAACGGTTCTTCTGTAGAGGAGGTCTTGTTATGTGTCCAATTATTGCCCATTTTTGCAGTCAGTAGTTTATGGTCCGTTCCACATTCTGCTCCTCTTCTGACTCGCACGTCTTTGATCTTTATTGTGGTATCTTGTTTGATTATTATGTAATCTATTCAGCTTTCGTGTTTCTTAAATCCATGTATATTTTTTGTTGTGTTTTTAGGTTGTTTAGTTCGCATAATTCAATCAGAGGTTCTTCGTTATCGTTTTCTTCATCCTCTGCAAATCTCCCCACTACTTTATCGTTTTCTTTCCTTCCGGTTCTGTCATTACGTTCTCCTGTTATAATTATCTCCACGTTCTTCTTAATTAGCTTTATTTGTATGTTAAAGTTTTCCGTGAAATGTTCTTTTTCTACTCTCAGGGAATCGTCTGTTGGTGCATATACTCCG